TCTCTCTCTCTCTCTCAGAAGCGCGTACGTATTTTATTTAATTTTTCTTCTTTTTTTTTTTTTTTTTGCCTCGTCTTTTTAACACGTAGCCCTTCTTTAATTATTTCCATCAAGGTTTTTTAATCGAGCCTTTGGTCGCAATTTGGGCCAAAGCAATTGATAAATTAATTCATAGCATTTTTTACTTATCGCTGCCCGAATCGAAATAGCAACGCGCAACGGAAATGACAAAACTTAACGTAGTAGCATCTCTCGAAGCTGCACGATTTATCGTTTTTTCCTTTCTTTTCTTTTCTTTTCTTTTTTTTTTCTTTTTCTTTTTCTCTCTCTCTCCGTCCATAAAAAAACTCGCTCGATAATACATGTATTATCGTTTTGACAGCAACTCGAACTCGGATTGTAATATAACAATATTTACAAACGGTGGTAGTTACACGTTAAGCATTATTTCATCATAGTGCCAATTCGGGTGGTTATACAACTTTCTATAATAATAGTGTTTCTGCCGTTCTCGCCCCCACCCACCCCCCACCCCCTCTTCATTTAGACAACGTATAAATAACAATAAACGGAAGTGGCAACTGCTCATATACAATTGTATATAATATCCATCATCTCACGCGCGCGGAATCGTTCAAATTGTAATAATTACACAGTTAGTCACACTCCCTCCCCCCCCTTGGCGCAACTCTTTATTCTTATCTTCCTCTCTTACAAATCAACTAGAAAAACTCGGGAGAAGTAGTCAACGCATTATAAACCTATTAAAAAATATTCACAGTAGTCTAACGTACACAATGACAGTATTGCTACCTATCCTTATGCATCTTTTGGATACATAGATTTGATATCGAATTCGTGAGAGTTCAATTCCCCCCTCTTTTTTTTTTTCAACGTCGTAGCCTTCGTATTATGTGTGTTTTCGTCAACGATGATCGTTTTCGCCTCTTTCGTTTTGTTTCATCCTTTTTTTTTCCCCCTCTTATTCGTTCGTTACACGACATATACATATACATATATACATATATATATATATATATATGTATATATATATTTATTTGACCGAGATACCTTCGATTCGACGGTCGGGTTAATAACAACGGATTGAAAAAAAAAAAAAACTCCACTCCCGTTGCTGGTGGCCTCGAGTATTTACTCTACGCCACACGGACAAGCTCGAGAAAGTGGGTAGTATTTGGCTTATAGTTTACAGTTTGACCGGTTTATATAGTTTGAAATAATTTTCCGGGAAAGTGGCGAACCTTTGTGTTACAAAGTTTGTCGAAACTATCGTTAACTCGGTTGATAATGACTTTCTACCTCCGATGCGCCGATGCATTTCCCCCTTTATCGTCATCATTATCTTTCCCCCCTCTCTTTCTCTCTCTCTCGCATCGGTCGTTAAACATTTATCTTTATTGATCGTCGAGCGTAAATGGATGAAAGTTTGAACGCAAGCGAAAGTTTTTTTGTGTATCGTATTTCATCCCAACAACCTTCCTCCAACTTCTTACCACTGTTTTTCTTTCATTAAAACCGCGGGCCCTCCTTGCACGTTCCTACGTTAAACATTCCCTCCCTTGTTTCCGTTTCGAATCTAACTAACTATCGTTTAAGTGTCGTTTCATTGTTAGTCCAATGGTAGGTTTATCCAGGGGGAAACGGAATATCGAAGGAGTTAAGCTGCAAGAAATTGAAATTCATACAGTTTCGAAGTGTTAGCTGCGAATATTCAATGTGCAAATGCGTGTACATATATATATATATACACACATATATGCACGTATATATAACGGAATAATATTTTGTCCAAAATTATATTCGAAAATCTTATATTCTTTAGATCTCGTCAATTATAAATTGCGCGAAGTTCGGAAAATTATTTCAAACTTTTCTCTCGTAATGTAATAGTCCGTGATTATGTTTAAACTCGTCGAATTCGAATTCTATTCGATCATCAATTATTATTACTCGTTTCAATATTGGAACACGCGCACGAACTTCCTCCTGGAACGTTCTCCATTTTCGTGGAGAATTCGAACGACGTTCCCACGACTTTTCCCTCTTCGTCTTTCATCATGGTCATCTTCCTTTTCGAAGTCGATATATATCAACACGATAATTTGTTTTTCGGTTTCGATTTATCGTTACGAATCCCCTTGCCCCCCCCTCTTTTATTCCTCTTCGCGTATATAATCAGACTTTGTATTCTAACGAACTAAGAAGGAATGGAAACATCACAGTCGTATAGAGGATGTGTAATGATAAATACATTTTTTTTAGCGTCACTGTAGGAAGGCGAATTTCTTTTTTTTTTTTTTTCTTCTTATTTTTCTCTCTTCGTCGTATATGTATATATATATATATATACGTTATATGACTTTCGAATAAATTCCTTCGGATAAATAGTTTACAGGGGATTTGAATAAATTCGTTTCCGTACGAGGAGGAGAACAATTAACAATTCAGCACTTTCGGGCAATTCTATACAACAAATTATAGACTCGTACCATTTCTTCATACAACTCTCTCTCTCTCTCTCTCTTCGTACGCGTAATAATAATCCTCTCTCTCTTATTCGTCAAGTATACTAAATCACCTCGAGCTCGTTATAATATTATGAAACGTTATGAGATCTTTTAGCGAGTGCATGCGATGTATGTATAGTATAGGATGTATGGATATTTTAGACGAGATTTTTTTTTCCTGCCGCTTTCTCGATCTAAACTCGAATTCGACGGAAGAAGAAGAAGAAGAAGAAGAAGAAGAAGTAAGGCAACGATCGATCGATGATTTAAAGAATCATCATCGGTTTCGCGATGTTTTTTTAAATTTTTTCGCTCGATAAGATTCGCGAAAAGATTGTCTATTTTTTTTTTTTTTTTTTATTTATTATTTTTGAACAATCGATGAAACGAAACCGAGGATAAATATCCGAGGATATATATATATATATATATATATCGATTAATAATCCCATACACTCTTCTCAAAAATTTCATAGCATGTTCATAGAGAGTTCTCGAGAATCTCTCCTCGATACATCGCCTTTTTCGCCATCCACGACGCGACGGTGATGGAAGAGAACGAGGTAATAATCGGTGGTCGCGTTGATAAGGTTTCTAATAATAATAAGTGAATCACGGATGTGTCCTCCCTCGAAGATCCCTCCATCCACTTCGGTGTGTCTCCCCTTGCCAATTTTCACGTTGATGCAAACGATGCGGCCACTCTCCTCGGCTGCCCCCCGAATAATGGAGGATTTTGGATGGCTCCCCGTCTTCCAAGTTATAGTTCGTTGTAAATTGAGCCAAGACCATCCCGTCCAACTTACTGATCGTGATTAAAGCGGTGAAACTCGGCCGGAAGAGAGAAGGAGAAGAAGGGGACTCGTGAACAGCATCATCATCGTTGCACCTTTAACAAAGAAGAAGAAAAAAAAAAAAAAAAAAAAAAGAAAGGAAAAATAAAGTAGCGAGACTCCGGTGATTACCTTGACACGATCGAGATAACGACCGTTCTAAAAATCTTTTTAGAGGGTTCTAAGAGGGAAGGAAGGAAGGAAGAGTGTATATATATATATATATATATATATAAAGTGACTTAGGACGAGGAACGGTAAGAAAGAACGGATGTACAACGCGATAAGAGACATTTACGATAACACAAATAAGTGGTACAGTATCCGCCTCCCTTTTTAACTTCTCCCGTAAATATCCGTTTAATTCGCTACGCCGAAATACGGGGAAATATCGTCCGTGTAATTATCAACCGCGTGAATCTAACCGTGGAAATAACGTCCCAAATGAAATGATTTATGGGGGCGTGGGACTCCCTCTGTCGGTCAATTCTCTAATTTCCGACGATTCGCAACTATTTTCTATTTTCTCTTTTTAAACAAATATGCTTTTTTATTTATATTTACATTTTTATTCGTATCGTTACTTTTTTTAATATATATATATATGTATACCGAGGGGAGGAATGTGTGTATATACAATAACTGGACAAAGAGAAAGAAGAGAGGAAAGAAGAAGAAGAAGAGGAAAGAAAATGAATAATATTATATAAATATATATATATATATGGGAGGAGAAAATACACGATTTGTCTTGGCGAATAATTTAATCGTTGTACACCACTTTATATGTGCACCGTTCGCGTAATTGGAACCGTGTACACGATTGATTTACTTAATGGCACATTTCCAGCGGAGAATTAAATATCGCGAATAATTAATGGAAGTCATGTGAAAACTTTTAACGTCCAACTCGGTTTGTACAATAATAATAATAATAATAATAATAATAATAATAACAACAATAATAATAATAATAATAATAATAATAATAATCTCTTGATAATATTATAATATCGGTTATTCGAAATAGCGGTACTCATATAACGATAAGTTGATTAATCTGAAATGTTTCTCGCGTTGATTTGCATCGCAAACGAGGGTTGCAGGGATTTTCGTTTCGTTGTAACACAGATATTGGAAAAATCTAGCAGCGGAGCAAGCTCACAAGGGAGAGGGGCACACGGAGAGAAATTGCATTCGAGAGTACGTTGGAGAGACAAAAAAAAAAAAAAAAAAAAAAAA